TATATTTTAAAATATATTAATCATAATAAAAATTATTCCGAATCTCACATATTTAGGGGCATTGATTCGCAATACCTAAAGCTAGTAAGGAGCTGAATCTAAAAATATTTAATCAAAATGTCCTAAATGTGTTAAAAGTTCTTATAAATATTGTACATATTAATAGCAATGCAATGATAAATTGTATATTGATATAATAAAAAAAAAAAAAGAAAAAGCAATGAATTAATGAGATCAGAATGAGAAAGTATAGAATTAATCCACAACTACATTACACACCATTCAATTATTAAAAACACCTTGAAGCAAATTCAAAATAGAATAGGGAAATCCAAAATTATATACACATTTATATTCCAAATTCGAGTTATTCCATATTTTAATCCGTTTAAATATACTCTATAATGTTAACATATTAATGAATTGTGCATAATCATCATATGTTAATTATATATATTATGTCTCTTAATAATATATTAGAGTTATATTGAAATGTTCTAAATTGTATAATTATTTTTTCTTCTTATTATTAATTTATCTAGAATGAAGCTTAGGTATACCAGTGAAGATTCAAAAAAAAAAAAAAAAAAATCAAAAGTTAAAATAAGATTTATTCGTGAGCGATGCACCGTTAATTAACTAAATTAATTAATTACAGCATAAAATTTATCACTTATAAATAAAATCTTACTATTTATATAAAAAATTAAACATTTTGTAAAAAAACATTATAACATGTCAGAAATATAGTGATAGCAAAAGCTAAGGACAAAAATCTTAAAACTAAACCCTGAATCTAATAAATATATTTTCATGTTGGAAAACGAAAATTCAAAATGCTTAAGTACTTAGAAAATACGAAGTGTGATATAAAATGTTATTTATTGTATTTCACTTAAAAAAAATTTTACTTAATAATGTACATTTATTTTACATTTGATTTTATTTTTTTTAGTACTATTATCTCGCTTATATACAAATGTTTACTTCATCTGAACATTTATATTATTTTACTGCATCATCAGGACTTGATCCAGAGATGAATTTTCATAAATATACTAAAATATCTTATTATTGTAGGCAATGAAGAGCAATGCATATTTCTTATGAAAATGTGTTTTTAACATGTTCAAAAAGATCTCATGCACACAAAAATGCTACATGTTATCATATGATATAGGACATTTAAAATATTTTGATTCAAGACAAATTTTAGAAATCTCCTTGCATCTTATCTTAAAATGTAGTACAAAGAAATGTGAAAATACATATTTAGAAAAAACCTACCTTTTAAGAATTTTTTTTTAATTATTCTATATATGATGTTTTAAATTTATAAAAAGTAAAATAGGAGAAAAAACAATGTAATCATTTATTAATTATTAAAACATTTTTAACATTCTAAAATTTTTTTTACTAATATAAATATCAAAAATTATTGGGTAATTTAATTAAATTAATGTAATGATATGAAAGTGCTGACAATTAGAAAAATTTTGCATGTCTAAATTTTACTATATAAAAAAATAAATGCTATATATGTTTTGTTATCTCTATTAATTTAACAATATTTATACAATAATATAAATAATTTATAAATTTTATTTGATTTATATGAAAACTAATAAATAATATAAATTTTTTGGAATTTTTAGAGTATGATCTATATCAAAAATTATATTTTATTTCAACGAAAGTGATAGCAATACATAATGTTTTAACGCTACATGAAAATATTTCTTATCCATATCTTATATTTTCCATATTATATAAAAAGCTAGTTCTCTTAACTTATTTGTCAACATATTCCATTATTCAATTAAAAGTTATATAATACAACAATTATTTAATATATACGCTATTACATAATGAATTTATTTATTGAGAATTTTTTAATTTATCGTTTTGATATTATTTAATTATTATCGTTTCATATATATATATAACTTCAGAAACAAAGATTTACTAAACTACTTTGAATTTTCCATGGTTAGTTCCATGCATTAAGAAAAGCTAGACATAAGCCATCTTACGAGAAAAAAAAAAAAATTGCTATAATAAGTTAATATTATTAAATAGTGAATTTATGTTTTAAGATTTTATATATTCATATAGATATATAGATAAACACTTCATTACGAAGTATATGATAAAAGTAAAGAAGAATCACTATGGTAGGAAATCTTAATTTTTTTCTTTTTATTAAAATTTTTACAATTTTTTTTTTTTCTTGGATATGCCATTATCACAAGGATGATGTAAAATCACAATGTTTTAAATACCCTTTATTGATCTACGATTTATTTTTCCTAATAAACAGAATTTCTTACTATAACAAAATATATTTTTATAATTAAATAATGTTACATTAATTTTTACTTTTTAGGTACCTTTTAATAAGTCTATTGATACTATACGCAAACTAGGAAGGTTATCAAATTCAAGAACGGATCGACTGTTGTCGAATTATGAAATAGACAAGGAATCTACAAGCGAACAATTAAATGAAAGTAATTTGCTCCATGTAAAAACCCGGGAATTAAACAAAAAAAGAGAAGAACAAACATATAACATTTTCAAAATAATCGATTTTCATTGTGAAAAAAAAATATTCGATAATATATGTAAAATTCATAGCATGCTAAAAGGCAATAAAAATGAAAAAAATAGAAATTTGATGTTGGTATTCAAAAAAATCAGTATTATGTTTGGTATACCTCTGATTATATATACTTCAGGAGGTAGTCTTTTACTCCTAAAGCATGTTTTTGATAAAGGCTTAAGGCATTTACCTTTTACAATATTAACATTTACTGCATTGACATTCATCATGATTACGTACATTTACATAAAGATTTTAAAGTCCTTGATTCTACTAGATGGCAACACTAAACCTAAATTAAACGATTATATTAATACAATTAAACAAATATTTAAATAATCTCTAGCCGATTAAAGATATATGATATCATATATTTAATAATATTTTCATGGTGATATAATTTCTTTATGAAAAATATATGTTCATGAATCTTTACAGAAAAATCTTTAAAAAAATGAATATGTATATCCATATATATGTATAGAATAACATGCTATAGTGTTTGTGATTGTATGCCTAACCTCTTTCTCAGTATAATTCTTTTTAAATATATATTTTTAGTTCCACTATATTTTGTCTTCATTATTATACGTACGCATTCATTCATATAATTATAAATACTATATGCTTCAAATATATATATTTAATTATTTAATCCTTTGTCTTATTAATCTGCAATTCATTGAAATTATGACATCGTATGCAACTAAGATAGTTTCCTTGAAACCTGTTTTTCTCTTAAAACTTAAGCTAATAGCTAGTGATTAGCTTTATTGTTTTAATTTGATCTTTACTTCATTATATATTCATCTAGAAAGACAGAGATATTTGATTTATTTTAATCTAAACGTAAAGATGTCTAATTTGAATGGTGGAAAATAATAAACATAATATTTTTATTTATATATATTTTTTCTTTCTGTTCCTACATACGGATAAATATAAAAAAAAAAATTCAATTTGGTTAATAATAATTAGTAATAATTAATTTTAACAAACATGAGAAATATTAGCATATTTTAAAATATTATAATAAAAATAAGGCTTATATAGGTAAATATGAAAATTTACCTAAAAACTCATCCTCAATTACTACAATAAGCAAGAAAGTAAATGCAATCCCATTTAATCATAATTTTATGAATCTTATAAATGTGGTGAATATTGTTAGCAAAGTGAAAATAAATTATATAACAGTGTAACAAAACAAGTTTGTAGTTTAGAAGCATATAATGAAAAAGGAATAAATTTTATTCAAAACTGCATTACACAGCATTCATTTGCGAATAACATATAAATAAAATTCAAAACAGTACATATACATGATAAATTATGCCAATATTTATAGGTAAAATGTTAATTTTGTTCGGGATTTTGCTATTCTTATATAACATATATAAAATTACACTTAAAATAAATGTGCATTATTTTATAATAGTGGGATTATGTCTTTTAATAATATAAAAATGTAAAATTCATGTGCATTTAATAGTATAATTGTATTTGCCGAATATCAGATTACACATTTTGTTACTTGATTCTATATAAAAGTAAAATTAATAAATTACACATTATTTTCAAAAAGACAGTGTACGAGATTCAATAATTTATATTTCATATTCTGTATATTTTTAGTCAACAATTAATAAAATGATTTAGGATTATCATGTTAAACAACATTAAACACAATGTTCTAACATTTGATTCTAATGCCCTTAAAAGAAACATATTTATAATAGTAAATACAGCTTTTATATATAATTATGCTTGACAAAGTATGGAGAAATAAAGTAATTATAAAGTATCCTTTTTCATATCATCATTTAAATTTTATTTATATTACTCCATTTGGTGTTTTATTAATTGAACCTTATCATCCTCATATATATATATGTTGAAATATAGATTCATTCGATTTAATCATATAGTTCCATTTAATATATAGGGTCTTTTTTATAGTGTTAAATTAATTTTAAGGATAAAATTTCATTTTACCTTTTATATCATATATATAACATGGATTCTTCCCCTTTATATAGGAAATGTTCAAAAAGCATTCTGTCTGAATTAAAAGAGAATATTTATGGTATTTACTTTTAAAATTATTCTGGTACAGTTCTTTAGAAATAATACTTTTATATCATCAATATATAATAAAAATTATAGTATCATATATTTTGGATAACGTATTTAAATGAATGGAATAAGGGTGAATTGATGTTCCTTTATTATATACAGTTATAAACATTTGGCGTATTTTATACTTTTGTTTGTTATCACTTCAAAAAGCTAAATTCTGTATAATATATATTTATTCATGCACATATTTTTCCTTTTGTTTAGGAAAAATTTAGTGTAGATCAGTGAAGTTAGCATCTGAAAAATTACATTCTAAGCACAATCGTTACTTGAAAAATCGTTAGTATATTCTACTGAATGTTTCCAACTGATTCGATAACAGAATTTACTTATAAAGAGATACCAATGTTCAGTTCTATTATATTATCTAAAAAGTACAAATGCTATAGCGACTAAAAAATAAGAAGAAAATGGTATTTGATGATTGCATGCATTTTTGTTAACACTTTGAGAAATGTTTTCCATATAATGGTAAAAATAATTGTTCATAAAATTATGTAAAATCTAAGGAATATAATCCAGTGTACATTATATCTAGACATATATCACAATGGTGAAATGAAAAAGGAACTGTTTTAGTATTTTGTTATAACATCCATATATTCAATTGAAGATGTAGATGCTGCCTCATTAATAAATGAATGTGGACTTAGTGAGGGATTGCAAATAATAAATTAAAGCTTTACCAATATAAAAACATTTTTTAATTTGGTTTCCTGAAGTAATACTGACATTTATGACTTCTATTTTTTTTACATAAGATTAATTCATATTTTATTAATGTCCATTAAAAAGATTTTTTATGTAATATCTTACTTTTGTTACACATGCATAATTAATAAGTGTGTTATTTTTTTTTATATTATTTTTTCATATACATGTTTATATACTTATGAAGGCTGTTGCTCAACAAGTTTTTATTAAACAAAAATGCTATATATTATATAAGTGGACAAGTATATGGATTATTTGATTATGAATCATAATCATGTAAACTAGACTATGAGATAAGTGAAAAATATTATGTATCATGCATTTTTGAGTAATATTTTTTAATTGAAATATATAATAATGTCAACAAAATTAAATAAGATCATATTAAAGAGAAATATATTGATACACAAATAACTATTTCAAAATATATAAACAATAAAGAAAATAAAACTGTTAATGTGTCATAATGATGATATTAATAACACATATATATAACATAAACATTATAAAATTAAATAAAAAACTAAATAATTAATTAATATGGACAAGTTAATTACGCGTACAAGAAGTTATCTTAAATATTTAGAAAATTATATATATTCCCATTTTTTCATATTAGGTCCTGTCATATGAATTATATTACACCCTTTGATAACGTGTAATATACCAGACACATCACTAATGTTTCTTAATTAAAATCTTTATAATGTTTCATTTAATAATATTCATAATAAAAATTAATTCTCACACAAATGTGTAAATTATGGATTTTATTAAATATATTTTTTAAAGTTTACTTCACACATTTTTGCATCCATTAATTAGAAGTTATGCATATTTATATAAAGAAAAGTATAAAACTTAATGTTTTATATAACATATAATAATTATTATTTGTTATTGTATAATATAAATTAAGGTATAATAATAATTACAACATTTGTTGTACTGTTTATGTAAATATGTTATTCTCTAAAATAATGGGTAAATAGGGGGGTGGGATCTATAACATAATATATGATTCCAAAAACAATAATCTGTGAACATGCAAATGTATATATGCACATGTTTAACTTTAAACTATGTTTAGAATTTATGAATTTATTTCTATATATATGATAGCTTTTCTATTGTAAAATATTTGTAACATTTACCTAGTATAATATGATATATTTACTTATTTTCAAAAAGTTATTAATCCATAAAATTGTCAATAATTAAATTTCTATTAAACAAAATTTTTCGATTTAAATTCATATTAATATAAGTGATTTAAGATTAATTCATATTAAAATTATTTTATATTAAGTTTATAAGATTAACTCTAACAGATACTCTAATTTTTGTTATTGTTTTCCCTTTAGTTTAATAACATAAAAATTATCCAATGGTGACAATATAATGTCTTCATGCATAATGAAAAAACATATCGTAATTATGTTTATATGGCTTATTATGCATTATAACACTAAAACAATATTATAAATAATATAATAATATATTTTGATTTTAAATAATTCATATAATGAAAAATTTTCAATTTTTTTTTTTTTTTTGGCCTAATTTAAAAAACAATATCACAAAATTCATGATTCAGCAAAAAAATTTACGTTATTACAATAACTAAATTTAATAATATAAACATTCCAGAAGTTAACAAATAAAATGAAATTTACACAACTTAAATCTATTCAAGTGAAATAAATATATTTTTTATGTGCCTTATTTTACTTTTATATTTTATTTATGTATAATTTCAGAAAGGATATAGCGTCTACATAAGTATAATTTAATAATACTGAAATTTTGTCTATCATTACTATGTACAATTTTGTGAATGGTAATATATACGAACTCTATTTCTGTTTGGAATCGCACGATCAAACTGTGAAGTATTTTTTAATAATTCTCCCCTAAACCCTTCCTGAAGATCGTAATTTTGTTTTGTTTTCTTGAAAGCTCTTCTATTTAACCAGGATCCAAAGGGAGTAAACTAAAATAAAAATTAAATATTTAGAAAATTTTTAGGATGATTAATTTGTAAATAGTCCAATTTTGCAAGAAAAGTTATTATTTAAAGCATGACATATGTGTATTTCATATCCAAATTTAAATTTACTTTGTAGTATAAAAAAAAAAGGAATAATGCCCCTACACCTAATATAGTTGCAGTACCGATGCGGAAAATTTTATTTTGCATTAAGCCAATTCCAGATTCTGACACAATAACGTGATCATCGTTTTCAACATGTGCATTAATGCTCTCAGCACGTTTTGTATTTTCTTGAACTAGTGATTCACCTCTTTCATCTGGTTTTGCAAGTACATGGACTGTTGATACACCTTTTTTTCCTGGTTGTGTAATAACTGGAACTGATGAATCACTTACATGAACTGATGATGCACTCGCTTGTTCCTCTGATGCGCTTTCTTGAACTGTTGACGCACTTACTTGAACTTGTAATGGACTTGGATTAACAGGATTATTGCTATCCACATCCTGAGCTGTATTTCCTCCAACTGTTAATTCAGGGTCTCTTTCATGTGATTTATTTCCTTCATCCAGCAATCCCTTGGATTTTATTATTTCTTTAAGGAATTTATACTCACGTTTTTCCTTTAATTTTTTGCATTTTTCAGGTTTATTTGATTTTCTTAATAAACAAGCAATTTCTTCATTTTCAACATAGGAATTACGCACATTAGGCGGAACTTCAGCAAATAATGTTACAATATCCTCTTGAAATAAATTGTTAGAATTCTTTACACCCATATTATTAAATATATTATTTGTGACATCTTCATGCGTTTTTAAATCTATTACATGTATATGCTTCCATAAATCTGGATGTTCACTAGGTTTTTCACCATTTTTATATTCTGTTGTATGTCTCTGATACTCTGGAAATACACATTTATATCCTAAAGGAACTCCTTTGTCATCTTTAGTAGGTATACATCTTCCATGCTTAATTATCATAGTATTATCTAATAGGAGATCCTCAGAGGCATCTCCACCATACAAATCAGACCCTTCATGTTCGACCTTATCTTTATTTAAACACGATAATTTAGATGAGAGTATACTTGGCTTCTTATCGTAATCACAATCAAAATATCGACGACAATCTGGATCACCATATATACAGCAATAATTTTCATGTTCTTCATACACTTTTTTCATATACTGTAGGTAGGATAAATATAAATTGCACTCAATATTTTTTGAACTAACTTTTTCTTTAATTTCTTTGAAATTTTTAAAGTAATCATGCAAATCTTTCTCTTTTTTCCATTTATCCAAAATACCATAAAAATAACATGCACAATAATAGCCTCCTGATTCAGAATTAATTTTTTTTCCTATTTCATAAAGTTCAGAATAAATTCGTCTGTCATAAACATTATCCATTTTATTTTCTTCTTTTTTCCATATTTCATAAAATACCCAATAGTTGAAGCACAAACAATTTTTCTGAGCATTTTCGCCATTCATTTCTTTTATAGATTTTAAATTCCTTGCAAATTTAAGGCAAAAATCAAAAATCCACGTAGAACTATCGTTAGAATTTTTTATTTCATTGCAATAATTTTCATAATCACTTTTATTCTGAGACTCCACCTCCTTAATGAAATCATCATAACATGATTTATATGAAGATAACTCCTTTAATATACCTTCCTACAAATAAAAAAAAAAAAGAAATTATATTAATTTCACGTCATTAGTTTAAATATAAATTTTGTTTTTATATATTTTATGTCGAATTATAAGAAGCAAATGAAAAAACTATTCTTAAATAAAAAGTGAGATTTACCCATTCCTCCTTCCGTGTATGATCCATCTATATTGCATCCTGTGAAACTAGACAAATTATAATAATTTCAAAGAACAGCGTATATATAATAATAGTAAATAAATTATTTTAAAATTATTTTTGCATTCTTTGTTTATATAACAAAGAAGTTAATACCTAAATGTATTAACAAGTTGAAGCTTTCTATGTATTTATAGTACTATTAATATTAAGTAAATTGTGTAATCTAATTAATGAGAACTTTATCTAATTAGTAACGCACCATAACGCGAATAAAAAAATAATATATTGTGGGTTATGGCAATTTTCCATATTTTTATATATAAACATATATCATTATTTTATTTATTATGCATTAAGGTCCTGTTATTATTCAATATAAATCAATTTATCAATATCTCTTCAATTTAAGCATCCTATAAAGAAATTTGATACATTAGTATATTTCATAAAGTTAAAATATATTTTATAAAAAAATAAAAAATAATTTTTTTTAAATATTTAACTTTTTATTGAAAAATTAAAATCTTTAGTATTTCCATTTAAGAATTCCTTTCATTGATTTATAATAATAGAACTCGCACACCTTACAATCTATAAAAAAATAACAAGGAAATTTAAACATTTAAATAACCATTGAAATATTTTATCACTTCTAATATTTATTATAAACTTATTCATTTCTTACATTAAGAAGTATTTATTTTCCTTTTCTCTTTTCTATTCTAGAAAAATTCCTAGAAATTTTATAGTAAAAATGAATTTAACATACATCCACTCGGAGAAATTTTTGACTGTTTAAATTTCATTCTTACTGTGCAATTTAAAATTAAAATAATAAGCAGAATATAATATCCCTATTATTGTTATTAAATATGTATTTATATAAGAATTTAGTAAGCAATGTAATTCATAATAAAGTTTTTTATATAACTATGAAATAGTTTATCATTAAAGGAGAAGGTAAAAAGTTACGCTCACTTTTATTTTTACACATTAATGTGATATAGCGTTTTATTCTTATAAATTAAATTTAAAAAAAGTGAAAATGTATAATGTTATTTATATATAATTGAAAATGTTTATTACATTTCTTTTATCTATAATAACAATTTCGTAATTACATTCAAATGTTTTGGAATTATGCATTTCCATATATTTCATATTATTTTTTGCATTGTATAATAATTACAAAAATATAAAGCATGATGATCTTATTTAATGTTTTATACTATTTTATAGACCCTTAAAATAGACTTAAAGTATATGTCCTCATGATATTTTATATGTGAAAATATATTTTAATACTATAGTTATTGTAATATTATTGATATAAAAAGAATATATATTCTTTTACATAAAATAATTACATCCGAATTATAAATATTCCAAATGATTATATGTTATCTTAATAATAGTTAAGTACAAAGATAACTGCGAAGTATAGAACGGATAAATTACACTATGTGTATATTTTTATTTTACATTATATGACAAAAGTGTTATATGTAAAAAATATGCATTGAATGTATTATAACTCATTTATTATCAATGAATTCTTATATCCGTAAAATTGTGTAAAAGTGATCTATTAACCATTTAATATGTAGTAGCACTAAATTTTATTACTGCAAAAACTATAAAATAACGTAGTATCTACAACATTTATCCATTTCAATATTATTCGTATTATGAGCACCTCCTTTTTATATATATAAACGTAATTCTATATTTATGATACATATTACACTAATAAAAATTCATGTAACGTGAGAAAACGAGGATATTAGTTATTCTTTTAAATTAACTATAACTTGTAACTTTTTTTTTGAACCTTATTTTCTTATTTTATTATATTTTTTCTATAAAAGGAAATATATATTTTTTCTTTATGACAGTGTGAAGGATTTAAATATTTAATTTATTGAACTCTCTATTTCCTCAATAATAAATGTACATATGTTTCAACAGTTGTATATACAAAATATATAAAAATTGTAACAAATTGGACTAAAAACGTTCTTTCCAAATTGTTAATCATAATGTAATGCCTACTCAAATAACAGTATAAAAAATGGAAAACATAAGTTCCTATTTTTATGAAACTCCACAGTATAAAATAATATAAGTGACAATAGTTAAATTAGTGAATTTTTGTACATAATATTATATAAAAAGTCACATTTTATGTTTGTAATAATAAATTCATGTATACTACTAAGTATACATTTTAAAGAAGCAACGTAAAGATATAAAATAAAAAAAAAACATTCACCAAATTGTGCTTCTTATGTCCCACTCTATATTTTATTCACTAATTAAAATAGAACATAAGTATTTTTATGTTTATAAGGTTCATAAAATGTATTTCAAAATGTTTGAAAAAATGAACATTGTTCCAATAAGAAAGTCATAATATTAAACCATGATTTTTAAATTTCAATAATAAATTTATGTAAATTAAAAAAATTATATATGTAATAGTTTAATTTATATGCACACTTTTCATTTTGTTTAGTGGATATTTCTAATGTGATACATCAATTCACATTATTTTAATATCCCATATAAAAACTAATACAATAACTACGTTTAAATAAAAATAGTTTACTAAAAAACAACAAATTAATATTAATTCACTTAAAAAATGTGTAGCATGAAATAAATGATATAAGAATTTTTCACCAAAAAAAAAAAAAAAAATACACCATACATTTTGGTGAGTTCAAGTAATTGATAATCTTAATAAATATGCCTCTTTATTAAATTGCTTTATTAATATATTCCATACAAAATATTTGTAAAAATTTATATATATCACTCTCTACAAAATAAAAGAATATTTTACAAGTATATTCTTGAGTTTATGTATAATTTTTTTTATTTCATAAATATGATGTTATCTTCTTTATATTTTTTTCTGAATATTTATTTGTGATAAGTATCTTGAGAACTTTTTAGCACTCCTACATTATCTATACTTAACTAAAATGAATCTATAACTTCTATCATTTTCATTACAAAGGTACCTTTTATTTATTATATCTTTACATATATGTATATATATAAGCATGTATATATTTATATATATGCACCTATTTCTAATTTTTAACTGTGAATATAATATATAAGATATCTTAATTATTTTGAAATTATAGAATAGATTGCACGATTATATGTTTTCAATTTGTCATCTTTCTAATAATTATTCCTTTTATAACTAGATATATTATAAAATGTAAGTACCTTATATTTTATTAATTCAAATATTTATCCTTAATTGTTTTATCCCTCTTGTATTTATTTTTTTTTTTTTTTTCCATTTTTTCTACTAATTCCTGGTAATATCAAGTGATCAAATAGCTGTTATAATTTTTACTTTTCAAATGCTTATTATAAATGTTTACTAACTATATACATTAATGAAAAGGAACACGTCCAGTATGATAGGATATATATGATCTCCTCGCTTGAGGACATTCAAGTAGAGATTCTAATTCATGCTCTAATAATTCATTTACAAAGTTACCATGATTATGTTTGCTAATTTTTTTTTTCTTTATGTCCCTTTTATGCATCTGTGATCTAATTGTAATAGACTAATATGAAAAATAAAATAAATAATATATTACATAGTCATATAGGAATACTAAACATTAATACAAGTTAATATATGTCTTATAAAATATATATATGTTAATGTTGGATTTTCATTTACTTTATAATAATAGAAAAGGAAAATAATAGTTCCCATTATTGAAGAAACTACGACTAAGCGAGGGAAATTGTCTGATTTTATTAATTTATTTGTAGTTTCTGAAATATCAGGAATAACAGTAATAGCTTCACTTGACCTACTAAGAGATTCCTCATGATTATCTGAGGTGATTTCTAAAAATTTTTGTGAGGTTCTCTCTTGTGGAAAAGAGTTAACAATGGGATCGTGAGAATCTGTACTTGTACCATTGCTTACTTTATTCTTAGCTTTCTTTATTACTTGCAATTCTTCTTTTAATTTATGTAATAATTCATTTGGGTTAAAATCATAATCACACTTAATATAAGCATCACAAAAACCTAGTTCAAATTCACCGCAACAAAATTCTTCTTTCTCTTCATATATGCTGTTAATATAGGTGACATATTCCACATATTTTTCACATTTGTTTTCATTTTCTTTATTACAAGTAATGTAATTAAAATTTACATGATAATCGTGTAAATCCTTCTCTTCTTTCCAGACTAACGGAGTTCCAGAATGAGCGCATCTGCAAGATGAATCAATTGAATATTTTGAAATAAGAGATGACACCATATCAAAAAGTTTATTGACAACTTGTTCCTTATTTATTTTATTCTCTGCACTATAATATTTTCCTATATTATCAAAAAACCAATGTTGAAAGTAATAACAATAATTTTTTCGTTTATCCCAGGGGATCCTAGACGCCTCTGTTAAAAACGTGACAATTCGTTTACAGAATGTTATAACATCATTGTCATTTAATCCTAATTTATCACATTCCCCATTTATATCAATTAAATTTTCTTCTTTATTCATATCATCATATCTCTTATATGATGGTAAATCAGGGAATTCTATTTCCTATTATTTTTTTGAGACATAAGAAATGGCATAACATGTTTATATTCATTTTTTAAAAAACAAGTCTTTTAATACTCTTAAAAAAATGTAGAACATTCATATTCAGAGCTATTTATGTAATAATAATGTATATATACCCAATTTTTCATTTTTCCAAATGTCGTAATATTGTATGTTTACTACATTAAATAAGAATACTCGCAATTCCTCATTTACAAATGTAATATAATAACGGATGATCTACCTATATATTATCCATCAGTATAAATTAATTATAAAAAGCACGTGAATGCTTACATGTAGTTATTATTTTTTTTAAATAACAACAAACAATTTTAATGTATTATTTGCTATCATAATGTAAGAAAAGATGTTTAATTATTCAAAAATGTACAAGGAAAAAATTATCCTTCTGCAAGGTGTCAATTAATATATTATCATACAACCCTATTAATAATTAGTGATAACATAAATAATTCATATGTGTACATATCATTGATGATTATGTGTTCTTTATCAGTTATCGTCTATTGAAAAAAAAAACAGTTACAATAATACGTATACTTTTTCTACACATAATTGATAGTTTAATTATACACCAAAAGGGCGGAATTCGTTTTACTAAGGAATTACTCTCATTCACCAATTGTTAGCGTTAATTATTTTCTTTTGCATTATTAAAAATAGACGTATTGTAAATTTATAATATAAGTAAAACAAACACTTTTGTGATGTAAAATAATAAACATTATATTTCGTAATTTAATTTAGTTTACAATATAAAAAGTATATAATGTGTGTCACAAAATGCTGTAAATTGTGTGGATATTGTGCAATGAGGTATGTTTCATGATGAATCCATCGAACTTTTCAGTGCTTAAAATTTGTCAAAATAGAGAAAAAAAAAAATTATTTCTTGCACTTTTCATTTTTTAATACTTATAAAATAAACATAGAAAGGTTGATATTTTCCTATATGTATATAAAATAAATAATTGTGATGAATATTAAAAAACACATTTGAAAAAAATAAATACAATGCTATTCCCCTAAAAATAAAAAGAAATACTTGAATAACCGTTTTCATGGTCCCCAAAAAATATAATAGAAAAAATAAGAAAATTCCCAAATCTAACTTATGTTGTAATTAAAACATTCCATTTAATTTGTTACATTATGCAAACACACCTTAAAATTAATTCCTACCAGACGCTTCTTTTTGAAACAATTGATGAAACAATGAATATATTATATTTAACAGAATAATAAAATTTTACGTCTCTTTTATTAATATCTCATTAAAACTGAACATTCACAACTGTGTTTATTAAACTATAAAAACATAACAATGACAAAACGTTTTAAACATTATGCCGTTATGAATCTACGAATTAACATGCAACTATTTTTTTTAAAACAAATTATCGTCTTAACACATGCGAAATGCAATGTTGTATTTTCTCATTGTATATAAATGTACATAAATCATTTGCATTGTTTCCTTTTTTCAACTGTGTTCTGTATTCGTGATGTAATAAATATATTCATGTTGTCCGTATAAGCAAAAAAAAAATTTTCACATTGTTTAAATACATGTCATACAGGTGTCCCTTAAAACATGTGTTTTTATATATTCACTTTTCCTATATCTTATTAGTATATCTGTTGTTCAAATAGATAAAATAAAAATAAAATAATCAATATGGATTCATTAAAATTATTATACATAAAAACATTAATACAATATTACATAATAAGGGTCTGATCTCAATATAACGTGCGAGTTAACTCATTAGAAAAAGTTCGCATCATCAAATTTTATAATGGAAAGAATATTTTTTTCAAATCCGACAGAAAATTATATTAAAACAAATAATATTTTTTTCCACAGTTTGGTGCAACTCATAAAATTATATTTTGTATTGTTATATGAAAGTATATTTTTATCAATAAGGGTATACCATTAAATGCATTGCAATAAGTATGAAAAATCTTTTTACAGCATCTAGTAGACCATAAGTAAACGTATTTTTAACTAAAATTCTTTGTTCAAAATACGTATGTATGAGATTGAAAGTTAATATTTGTTCATTATAAGCTAAAACGAATTCAGAAGCATTAAAAATTTCTGTTATGTCTAAAAAGAGCTTAAAATTAATAGATATATATATGTACAACTTTAATGACAAAGAAAATACATAAATAGACATTTATAACTTTGAAGAATTAGATTTTTATATTAAGTAAACAAATACTCTTGACTAAATGTGATACATAGAAGCAACAAATACATAATACGTTTGCTTATCTAAATATGTAATGCATATATATGAAAGACAAAATAGTGAGTTATTTACAATAAACTATTTTCCATTGAAGCATTGTTATGAGTAAATATATTTCACGAATTATTATTATTCCTTTATTCATTTAACTTCTTACAAGTAAATTAATATCCTTCAATTGAGATATTTATATGTGAACATTACATAAGACAGAATAAAAAAGCCAGCAAGAAAAGGAGTAATCCTATTAACAATATGACGAATGAAAATATAGCAAAAACTAAGTGTTCAAATGGCGCCTAATTTTTCAAATATGTGAGGTAAACATCACATTTTAAAAACATTTTTTATAATAAAAAGTGCTGTTCTGCATAATCATTTCAAAATTTTTTAATTATACTTTATTGCTACTAATTATCAATGAATAATAAGACCATTAAAATAGCGCTAAATTGAAAAGGCTGATATATAGTAACTTGCAACAGAATGTAAAAAAAATCATAATATGCAGTTTTATTCAACTACCAAATTACTAATGTAATTAATTTTAAACATGTTGTATATATGGAATTTTTATATAATTCATATGTACTTTAAATCTATTGTATACTTTTTAAATATAAAAAAAATATATATACAATAAAAAAGTTAAAAGTTGTCATGTTTAAAACAATAGAGCAACATAATTTTACAGAGTTAAAACTTAGTAATCTTTTTTCTTTAACTGAATCAGAAAGTAGCAACGAAATTATTAAAATCTAATAATAATAATAGTAATAATAATGATAATAAGAAGTATGAGTTATTTTTGCGTCCTATCATTGAAGATATAAATATATTCTATTGCTAATCTATGTGAGAAATATATGTATGTCATATATATTTGTTATTTTTTTAGTATTATTGCCATAAAAAATATTAGCAAACATGTTTTAGTAATTTTCAAAAAGTTACATGATAAATTTAAACAATTGTTTATCAATTATTAGTTATTTTAATTTTCTGTTCCACTTCATTTACAGAAAGGTACTATAATTGTAACCCAAATAGAATTTGTTTCTGAAATAAAAAAATATACCAGCATATAATAAATAATCATATGCATAATAAGGGAAATTGCTTCTAAAAAATCCATTTTAACCTGTATACATAAGAAAAACATAAATAATTAATTTTCAAACTACACTTATTGTAATTTGATATAAATACCAAAAATAATCATTTTAATAGCAAATATTTTTTTTATTAATAAAATAAACCTACATAAAATTTATATGTTATTTAACCCATGTCTTTATATGCAACATTATAAAAAATAGAATATGTCAGAATAGTAGCAATGCAATGGATGTATAAGCACTCAACTTTTTATTTTATACCAAATATAGCTGTACTCCTTTTTGCTAATAACATTATTTATGAGAAATTCATTTTACCAAGAAAGAGAGATCAAGTAATTCTTAGTGCTTTTACATCTAATATTACACATTTGTGCTCTTTACTATTAAAATAAAAAAGTTTTACACACATATATGTAAATAACATTTCTTAGAACTAGTTTTATTTCCTTTGTAAATGTTACATAAATGTAACTTTTCAGCATTCACCATTTTACATGTTTGTTTCCATTGTATCTTGTGTCTCTACCTATATTTTGCCATCGTTTAATTTCTAAACCTGATATTTGTGTATATCTCAACTTGTATCAATTTAATACATAAAAATGTTATAAGTTTTTTAAACAAATACACTTGTTAATTCAATTTTTATATACTTGTCCTTATTAATGATTATTCTTGAAAATGTTACTGGTTGAAGATTTCCATATATTCACATTCAAGGAACTCCGATGATATTTTAAAACATATTAATTTATAGCTTTTCTGAAGATTATTATTTTCATTAATGTAAATTTTATAATATAAAATCATGATGCCGAAATATTAAATTCCTTCAGTAAGGGTGTCTACTCATTGCATATAATTTATTCTCCGAAATTATTTAATAGCAGAAAAAGGAAAGACAACTATAATAAATATTAATATATAGAGAATGGTTGAAATAACATTTATAACCAATACTGATAACAGTGCTTCTACGACTGAAAAGTGCAAAAATAAATATGAAACATTTTTAGAGGATATTTTAAAAAAAATTAATGAACTTAATGGTAACACTCATTCAGATTTACACAACGAATGGGTTACGTTAAATCAATATATAAATGAAAGAAATAATGAATTAAAGAAATGTGTTGATGATAACTATATACCAATTGATTTATATGAACAAGCGGCAATAAAGAAATTTAGGAACGAATATTTTAAGAAACATTCTTGCACTATAAATACAGAACATAATGCTGCAAGAAATACTGAACCGTCACCCCAAACAGGTGAACCTGGTAAAGAATGTGAAACAAAAATAGAACTATCAGAAGGAAAAGTTAAATTGCATACAGCATCGGACTCAAAACATTCTAAACACAGAATAACTGAAGAACAAGATCGCGTAGTGAAAAATACAGGACAATTTAATACACAACAATCAGGCCAACAATATGTAGATTTACAGGATCCACAGAAGGTAAACCACCCCTCCAGATTTACTGGAACTGAGTTGAAAGAATCTGTGCCAGCAGCTGGACATAAGTCTATTGATCATGAAGAAGCAGGTGCTTCATCAGAGTCTTTATCTATATCAGTAGATTCACCAAATGAAGAATTAGGTTTACATCAAAGTGTTACTTCTGCACAAACAAAGCATACTGAGAAAATTAATTCAGGAAAAACATCAGATGAAAGTAATATTCATGAAGTTTCACCTCAAAGTAATTTATCTTATTCTCAATATTCTACTCAACAACCTCATGGAATCCAATATACTGATGATGAATCCATTGATAACGAAAGTGATGATTGTTTATATCTCCTTGAGGAAACTTTTTTTTCTGCAGATCCTACAAATGAAATTTCTTCACAAAAGGGTTTCCAACAAGTAGGTGCTCATAGCATAGGAGCTCATTCCAGAGACACTGATGGTTTACCTTACACTAGTTCAAATACAGGTACTACACGTGATAATACTGCACATTCACGAGAAACCAGTTATAATGATAATCAGACCATTACTGTAACTTCTGATAATATAGATTCTCACGATGGATCTATTGGTTCGCACCGTTCTCATACAGATCCTGATGATTTAGCTAATGGTGTAGATGGTGCTCATATTCAACGCACTAATGAAGTAGTTACTCATGGTAATGACAGTACTGATTACGTCACTCATGTAGGTACTACTTCTCATAATGTGTTTTCTAATAGTGAACACGCCGATGGCGAAATTTTTCCTGAATCAGTTACACGTAGTGAAATGTCAACTTATGAACCTCATAATGAAGGTACTTCTGAACAAGAAAAAAGAAATAATTTGGTCGTACCTCCTAATACAGATCCTGTAGTAAATAATGGATTTACTCCTATAATTAATAGTTATAATTCTTCTGGAATATATACATCAGGTAAAAAAATTGTTTTAAAAGGGATTAATAATTCAGAGGACACAGATACTAGAGAAAATGGAGTTACACTGGATGAATCTAATGGAGATAAAAAAGGAATATCATATCAAAAATATATCAAAATGATTTTAGTGCCATTAACAATTATTTTGTTATTTGTACTACTAGTAAAAGTAAATTACAATATGTTGAATTAAAAAGATAGTAATCTTTTAATTATTTGCAATAATTTTATTTTTATAATATATATTTTTTTTTTTTTTTTGTAGTACACCCCATTGGGAATGCTTTTTACTAAGAAACAAAGAAAGAAAAAAAAAAAGATGGAAGAAAAGTTAAAGAGGGTACTATTAGAACCTTCATTTACAAAAGAAGAACGTATCCAGATGGCATATAGCTCCTGTTAATATTAAATGTAATAATCAATAGTCATTTGAAAATTTTTTGAATTATCTTTTCATAAAACAAGTAAATAAAATCAAAACTAATAATTTTATTTTAATAATTTATAATTAATTATTTTGAGGGGTTAAGTTATTACACAAATTCTAACATTGTACTTTCAAATAGTTGTATCATATTTTGTATTGCAGTGTTGTAATCAGAATACAACACCGTATGGCATTACAACATATACTATTTTTTTTTAATTCTTCGTAAGCAATAATATTCTTTTAAAATTTTGCATACTAAAAAAATTTTGTTTGGTACATTTGTATATATTTCAATCCAATTAAAATTTAATTCATCATTATGATATTTGACAATTTGTTTCTTTTGTTTTGTTTTTTTAATCTAAAATTGAGTTATAACAAGATTTTTTATTCCTTTTTGCACTTTAATATCATTAATTTAATCATTCAACTTAACATTGAATAAACATATGTTACAATGGCCTTAAATATTTGTCTTTTTTTAACTAACAAGTTGTACATTCTACAATGACAAAGGAATATATATATAATGAGAAAGCAGCCTGTTTAAAATATAGTAGGTGACGGATTTTACAAAGATTTCTATTCTTTATGTAAAATATAAATGTGTAAATTCTATCAGACAACACATAGCAAAATTGCTAAAATTATTTATAAAATGTACTTTATGTAAGCCAAGTAATATATTATGTCTTTTTTCAGAAATGCCATAAGAAAATTAGGTAAATTCAATAGCTTAAATACATGTAGACAAATGATGTTATAGCCTTTTTAATAATATTCTCCCAAGAAAAATGCATAATATTAATTAAAGAAATAAAGTATTATTTATGCTTTAATAGAGGACAATGTACTTATATTGTAATCAGGATCGGTGAATTCTATAATTAAATATAATAAATAATTTCCAAATGTAAACATTACCATTATTTTGTATGTCTATATTTTATAGGTCTATTAGAAGAAAAATAAGATATTAATAATACTGTAGGCCACTTATACTAATATGCGCACAAAAAATACATTTATTTAATGTGTTTTTTTTAAATAATAAAATTCAAGTCTGCTTCGTTTATTTTAATAAGAAGAGGACTCATATATATATTACATAAAAGGAATAGAATAGTTTTTGAACATTTTTTTAAAGTGTGATTTTTCATTCCTACTTACGTTCTCTGAAAGTTCACAGATGTAATAAAATTTTACAAACACATTTATTGCACAATAGAAATACAGTTTTGAAAAAACATAAAATTTGATAAAACATTTAATAAAGTATTACATTAAAATTAAAAGTTTTTCTTTGGAATTATTTAATTGTGTATATTTCATTTGTCAACACACTATCTTCTTAATCCCTTATACATAATAATGTTTTATGTAAAAATGTTAAGCGTTCTAGTGATCCATACATTTATTTTATTTTATTTTTTTTTTGTTCTTTTTTTGTGAACCCAGGAGCGAAACGCTCTAAAATAATAATTTATAAAAAGAATTGTGTAATTAATAACATAAGAATTTTTACGTAAATATATTATTAAGAGACGTTTTATGAATAATGGTAAAATGTTGAACATTTTATTTAAAATGCAATTTATAAACTGTTAACAGGAAAAGGATAAAATCAACAAAAAAACAAACACTTATCCTTATAGGTGTCCAAGCAATTTATCAAATAAAAGTGCTGTTTTTAATTTTAATGTGATATATACTTAGTAATTGCATAATGGATGGTGTATATGAGAATTCATTTTTTTTTTTTTTTCTTAAGACATGCCTCATAATTATTTTTTTTATTTATTGATTCAATATATAATTTATTCTTGTGTACTCAGAATATGTACAATATTTATGCAATCTGTTATTAAATTCAGAAAGTTTAGGACAAATATTCTTGCATTCAACTTCTATATGTTGCAGTAGTTGCGAACAAATTCGACTGAAAAATGTGATATATCACCAACCTTTATTTTTACTAATATATTCTAAAATGTTATAATATGTGTAATATGCTCCAAAATAATTTGCAGGTACTAAAATTTATATACATATTTTTATTATATTTATAAGTTAAACAAAATATATAAATAAAAAAAGTTATATTTATTGTTTTTCACAATGTACCTAATTAGACATCATTGTGTTTAAATTAATACATATTAGATTGTTTATGCTTTGTTAGCCACATAGGCGATAATGTAAAGATCAAATAAAACCAATAAAATTAGTCATCATTTATTATTGTATAAGCAAGAAAACATAATTTTAGCAAAATTATATTAATTTTTCTTATCTTTATCATATAGATAGAAAGATAAGTAATTAGCACATACATTTAAATGATTATATATATATATTCTTCTTATGACTTCATGGGATTCATAATTATTTTCATATATATACATATACAATGATAATAATAGTTTCTGTAAAACACGTAAACTTATAAAAACACAATGAATTGTGTTAATCAGCTGTAAAGCACACACATAAAAACATGTCACACAATTCTTTTCAATTATATATATATATATNNTTATTTATTTATTTATTAAATCTGTTTATATATATCTTAAGGGTTGTATATAGTAACTTACAGAAACTACGTCTTCATCAAAAGTATTGTTAAATATATGATATCTTATAAATAACTAAACAATGATAAAGATTATTTAAATAACATTTTAAAAGCATATATATAATCAGGTAAACTAGGCTTAATCTTACCTTCTAGTATAACACAACTTTTTAAAAGCTTTATGAAAATATAAGTTAGCATGAATAAAAATAAAGCAGAAGAAACTATTGCACCAAATTGTAAAAATGGTGCTTTTGAAAAATTCTTTAGAAGAAGAAAAGAAGCTCCAGATGAATATGTAATCAGGGGTAATGCTAATATAGTAAAGGCGTTTTTGAATACTAACATCAATTGTTTTCCTGGATCAATATTATCGTCCCTCATAATATTACGCATTTCACTAATTTTCTCAAATATTT